TTTGCTGAATTGCTAAACTGTGGAAGCAACCCAAATGTCCATCCACTGAGGACTGGATAAAAAAATTGTGGTACGTTTATATAATGGAATATTACTCAGCTGTAAAGAAAGATAAACTCGAGGCTTTTATAGGTAAATGGTCACAACTAGAGACCATACTCATAAGTGAAATAAATCAGAGATCTGCATGTGTAAGCATCGTATTGTCTCACTAGTGCAAGACCTGAAAGAGTGAATAAAAACTAGGAGGAATGATAGACAGTGTGAAATGAAAGGAAAATGCTCAAAAATAAAGGGCAACTGGGGTGTGGGAAAAGAGAAGGAAAAGAAAGGGAAATTATGTAAGTATGTATATACAGGATAGCTAACATAGTTGTACTAGTGTCTTCTATTGCTCTACAGAAAGGAACAGTTAATGATTACTTGTTTGCTCAATCTTATATGTCTCTGTTTTCTTGAGAAACCACTTTGAAGATATCAATAAGTAATAGAACAACCATTGTTAATTTCCTACAACTTTGTCTGTAACTGTTTTGTTTGTATTGTTCTATGCTATTTTGTAAATGGATGTCTGTTTGTTAATATGTTTTCCTTCTTTTATTTCTTAAAATAAAAGGAAATGAAAAATAAAAAAGGATGCGGAGGAAAAAAAAAAGGATGGGGAAGCTGGGGATATAGTTCTGAGGCACAGGGCCTGCACCCAAAATAAAAGGATGGGGCTAGGGGCCTGGGATTTAGCCTGGCAAGCCTGAGGTCCTGAGTTTGATTCCTGGTACCCAAAATAAATAAATAAATACTAAGTAGATAAATAAGAGGATGGGAGTGTAGCTTAGTAGTAGAGCACTTGCCTAGCATGCTGGATGCCATGGGTTCAATCCTTAACCCTGAAAAGAATTATTTTAACATTAGAAACAACCACAGTAAAAATTTTAAAATGAAAAAAAAAACAAAAAGCTGCTGTGAGCCAAGGACTGCCCTAATAAAATAAAGTCTGTTAAACTGGGCGCGGTGGCTCACACCTGTAATTTCAGCACTCTGGGAGGCTGAGGCAGGAGGACTGCAAGTTCTAGGACAGCCTGGAAAATTTAGAGACTTAGCAACACCCTGTCTCAAAATAAAACCTAAAGTCTGTTTAAAATAAATACTTAAGGGCTGGGTATGTAGTTCAGTGGTAGCATGCTTGGGGAGACCCTGGGTTCACACCCAACACTACAATAAATAAAATTTAAATCATGGAGAGCTTTGCTGACTGTTATTGGACCCTACAGAGGGACACCAAGCCCTGAGCTCCACCCTAAGAAGTTTAAGGGACTTAGGAAGACAGTTAAGGTTAGAGCTCAGACAGGGGCCCTGGAACCCCAGCTCCCACACTAAGTCCCTGGGTCCCGGACCCCAGCTCCCTCACTATGCAAATGTGCATAATGCAGCCACCGGGATTTCAAATGGGGACTAACCCGGGGCCCCAGAGCGCGCTAGATGGAAGAGACCCCAGTGGGGGCAGTGTCTCCAGGGGGAAGTCACTGAAGCGGGGCTCAGAGGGACCAGCCCACCGGACACTGGGGGTGTTGGAAAGGCTGTGGAGGCCCCAAATACAGCTGTACCCAGTTTTCTCTGGCCCACACATTATTTTCCTAAAATTTTATTCAGTTATAAACATTTACACTTGGGAGATTTCATGTAAAAAAAAAAAAGGCTTCCCAAACACACAAGCTTAAACAGCACCTGGTTTCTCTTATATGAGAAACCTGAGGTATAAAAACATTGCAGAACAAAGTAGGAGATGGACAATAGGGAAGCGGGAGATGGCTCTTTTGCAAGTGAGAAAGGGACCAAGAGACAGGGAGGGGAAGGGAAGTAAAAAGAATGAAGATGTGCGAAGTCCAAGCATGCACTGCCGTGAGGAGTGTGATCCTTATGTACCACAAGCACGGACTCACATAATTTTTTTGTTTTATTTTTTGTTTTTGTTTTTTAGTTTTTTTCCGGTACTGGGAATCGAACTCACAACCTTGTGCTTGCCAGGCAGGCGCTGTGCCACTGAGCTAAATCCCCAGCCCCTCACATAATTTCTTAAAAACAGAGTTCCACCTGTCTTGAAAAACTGTGGGTTGTGACAGCACTTGAGAAGTATGAGGTCTGAAAACGCCATCCCTCTGGCCCATGCGGCCTTTTGTTTTTGGAGACAGGGTCTTACCCTGTAGTTCAGACTGGCCTTGAAGTCACTATGTAGCCCAGGCTTGCCTTGAATTCATGGAGCTCCTCCTGCCTCAGCCTCTCGAGTGCTGGGGCTACAAGCATGCACCGCCACAGCCAGCCCCTGTGGCCTTTGCTTCATCTTGCATTTCGAACATGGACATTCATAGACACATGCACGCGCAGGCGCACACGCATAGGCGCACCAGCCACAGCCTGGACGGAAAATACAATCGGCGGTCAGGGGAAAGATTCCCAGTGACTGTGGAATGATCTGCGGGGGCTGTCCTGTCAGGGCGAGAGTGAGAGGAATGATTTGTGATGCTGACAGAAACGAAGTGTGGAGAACGGCCACAGGAAGGGAAAGTGCAACTGCACCCTAAGTTCCCAGAGTTAAATAGAGGCGGGCGGCAGTGGAGAGAGGCAGGCCCACGCTCCGGGCACCTCGCTCTTCTTGGTGCGGTGCTGCGTCCACGGCAGGCGTGGTGCACTCAGCACAGGCCAAGGAGCCTCTGAGCCCAGGTGCAACGGCAACATCCTGCCCCGCCCCAGCACTCAGGGGTCACTTCCGGTTGCTCAGAGCTGCCGGTCTCTTCTCTGTGCTGCCTCTCTTCCTGGGGGAACCTAGAGCTTACACTCGGCCTTCCTTCAGTCGTCATTCACGAGGTTTCTTAAACCAGTATGTGGGGGCTGGGGGTTTAGCTCAGCGGCACAGTGCCTGCCCGGCAAGCGCAAGGTCGTGAGTTCGATTCCTGAGACTGGAAGAAAAACAAAACAAAAAAAACAAAACAAAGCAAGAAATAAATAAATAAACTGCTATGTGATAAGCACCATGGTAGGTCTGAGGACACAGTACTGACACACATTCTTCTTTAAAACACACATAAACAACAGTTTGATTTATAATGGTGATACTGACGTTTAGCACTGAGAGAATGCCAAACGGGTTCTAAATGACAAAAATTACATCATTCAATCCTCTCAGCAGCTTTCCATACTACATGCTATTATAGTCATGTTCAGAGAGGTAAAGTTCTTTTTCTGAGGACACACAGCCTGTAAGTAACAAAGGCAGAACTGGATGGAACACATGCAGTTGAGTGGAGCAGGACCAAGTTGGAGAGAAAGCAGGGCCCACAGCATAGACAACTCTGTGCTGCTGACTCTCCTAAGTGTTTGTATAAAGACAGAACATCCTCAGAGCCAGGCATGTTCACTTTTTGTATCCGCCAGAGCGCGCAAGTGCAGGATAGCAGAGGACACAGACAATTGTTCATGAATAGACTGATCAGTGATGGGTTCATCGATTGACCTGCTGACAGCAGCCATGGGACAGGAGACAAGAGAACTAGAGACCCGGTTCAAAATGCAAAGTACATCTTTTCCACTTTACATCTGCTGGCATAGCCAAAAATCAACATGACACAACAGCAGAAACACAAACGCTAAAAAGTGTTAACAGGTATGGAGAG